AAAACAAAAAATATAAAATAAAAAGGGGAAAATAATTGAGAGCAATTTGTTTTTGAAATGATGTTGCGCAGGTGTGCGGGCGCCGCTGCTCTTACCTGGTGGCTTTGTCCAGCTCCAACTCCAGCGGCGCACTGTCGATGCGCACGAGAAGAACGTCTCCGCTCTGCATGGCGGCCGTGGCCTCCCAGCCCAGCGCCGGCGGCGGGCACTCGGGCCCCGCGCAGTCCACGGGCACCTGCAAAACATACAATACTCGATCACAAACTCCGTTCGCACAGAACAATACCCACGAACGTACAGTAATCCAAACATTTGAAAGAAATTTGTGTAGGCTAATAATACTTCTTTAAGTACTTCTTCAAAGGCTCACGACTACAACCACGCGTGCAGGTTAAGGTCGTAAGTACATGCAAAATACGGTTATTTGCCCGTCTACAATAGTGTTACTATTGGTTATCGTCACTGATGGGTCAAAAATTCATCACCCTCTGGTTTTTACGCAAGAAATGTTGTCTAGAGAAAATAAATCATATCCCGACCGAAATGTTGTCTCGAGAAAATAAATAATATCCCGACGCCAGAGCTTCGCGCCACCGCCCACCTGGCCGAGTCCGTGAGGCCCACGAGCCCAACCCCACACCCCACCACTCGCTCCCGTAATTGGAAGTTATAACGCACCGTTGCTTTCAAAAAGTTGGCAACGCGAGCATTGATTTATTTTGATACATCAGAGGAGGCTTTCTTCCTGTGTGAGGGTGAGGGAGAGAGGGGGGGCGGCAGTGTTCAGTCGCTATCACTTTCTGCTCTCCTTATCACGCCTATGTTACTCCTTGCCTTTCTCCGTTCCATGCGTAGCATTCGCGTGTCATTGTCATTTACCGCCGCCCTCCCAGGCCCATCTTTCTTCTACCCCCTGGCCCGGCTGGGGCCACGCATACTCACTGACGAGGAAGTTGTCGCCGTCCGAGAGGTCCTTGTCGTAGAGGGCGAGTAGCATCTTGCCGTCCACCGGGAGCGGCGTGATGTCCAGCAGCAGGCCCTGCGCCACGTCGCAGCCGGCCATCTCCTCGCGGGTCACGCCGTACACGGCCTCCTGCGGCTGGTGCGGCGCCTGGGGGGCACTGCAAAACAGAAGTGAGAAATTATAGCAGAGGTTTTTCCAAACATGCTTCGTAGATTTCCAAACTGTTGCATAATTGTAAAAATTATTGAGGGATAAATTTTAGCAGTGCTGCCAAATTCAGTTAATCGTAGAAAAGTAGCACAGTTTTCAACTCTTTGAATGCCATTTTGTAAATGCTGCGGCAGAAAAGGACTGTCATATTATGCCAAAATTTGACATTCAAAGTGGCCAAACGATTTGGCAAGTCAAAAAGGGAAAGACAAAACTGTGGCGGACGCAGAGTCTACAGTGAGTGCGTCCGTTTGTGCGCGGAGGACAAAAACTAAGTAAACGAGGGTGCGTCGAGTACACTAGGAGATAGCGGGGCCAGCAGGGGTGGTGGCGCCGGCACCCCCTGCTGGCCGGGCGACAAACTAGCAAGGCAGAAGAATGTCTGGAGGGGCGCGGCGGGGCGCGGGGGTGGGGCGTGGCGGAGCATAATCCTCTTACTGCAAATAGTCACCGCTTAAACTTTCCGGCCGCTACGCCCCACCACTCCACGCCCGAGGGCCCCACCAGCACCAGCCTTGGTTAGTGAATCAGACGCCCCCGCCCGCACTCTTACCCCCCGCGACCCGCCGCCGTCGCGACGCCAAACTGGTACGACACGGCCGCCTGATCCGGAGCGGCCGGAGCGGGCGAGAGAGAGAGAGAGAGAGAAGATGACGGGCGTTGAAATTCGGCCGACACAGCATAAAACTAACACCTTTAGGCGCGAAGTTGGCGGATATGTACGGACTGAGACAAAAACTCACACCATCTCACCTTTCTCTCGCTCATCCATTTACATGCACACTGCACACCTGTTTACTATATGCTGTAAATTCAACTAGACCGCACGACCAGGCTATAACGAGTCTAGACGTCTAGACTAGAGACTCTGGAGTCTTAAACCCTAGCATTTATTCGTCAGTCGCATAGATACGTGACAGGGCAAAGGAAAACCGTGGGGTGACCGCTTGCCTCTGTCCCCGTAGGAGAGAGAGAAGGGGGGCAAGCTAGAGCGAATGAAGGAGAAGGGAAGAGGGGCGTTGGCGCGACCAAACCCAAAACTTGATGGGGCGCTTTCTGCTTTGGCTTTGAGCATGGAAAATGAGTCTGACGGATCATCCCCCGGATACCTTTTCACCCCTTTCGAACCTCCGAAGCTCATCCCATTCACTCAGTTTGTCTTTATCTCTCTCCACCCCTATTCTCTAACTCGCGCGCCCCATCAATATTCATCCCACACAGATATCACAACGGTGGGGGGCTTTAATTAATTCCCTTTATCTTTCCGCCACCTGCAGTACAACGACGCGGGCCTGGCGCGCGCGCACTTTTTTCCAATTTTCATGACAAAGGATGCGAAAACAAACAGGAGTAAAAACAAAAAATATAAA